GGCCAGAGCACCGGGGGGAGGGCGGCGTGCCCGGCCGTGGCCCCGCTCTCCCTGGTGGCCGGAGCGCTGCGCCGCCCCCCTCCAGGTGCCGCCCCAAGCACAAGCTTGGTGGGCTGGTGCCTGGAGCCGGCCCTGGCCAAGACGGGGGTCTCCTCAGCGTTGCTGCAATACAAATGAACTGCCCCCAAAACGTCGTTAATGGAGAGTTAAGGTTGCCCAGCGCTGCCTCATGCCCTTCCAGCACGTGGAGAGCTGCTAAGGTACATGCTAACCCAGCAACTTCACCTTAACTCTGTCCCTGGGAGCTGGTTGGAATTTTTCACCAAAACATTTTTCTGTTGGAAAAAGGCGGATTTGGCAAAACCAAAACTTTTTGCAGGAAAAATCCCACTACCCACCCAGACCTGGGAATGGAACCCAGGAGTCCTGAGTATCTTCCCCCACGCACAACCCATTACATCTCACTCCCCTCCCAGAGCCTATGAGAGAACCCAGGAGTCCTGAATCTCAGTCCCCCAGCCCACAACCTATTATACCTTTCTCTTCTCCTACCGCTGGGAATAGAAAGAGGAGTCCCGACTCCCACCCCCCAACCTAATAGACCCCACTCTTCTCCTAGAGCTGGGGCTAGAGCCCAGGGGTCTTGAATCCTAGCCCCTCACCCCCACTCCCAACCCATTAGATCTCACTCCCTTCCTGGAAGGACAGGACAGGGAAGGAAGGACAGGAAGAACCCAGGAATCCTGACGCCCACGGTCTAACATCGGCTACCATTTACACTGACTTACCTTCCTTTTCATTGTCGCTGAGGTCTCCCTCTCCCTGAGGCGGGGCTCCCCGGACAGGCGGAGATGGGGTGGGCTCTGAAATGAGAAGGGGATAAGAGATGAGAGTGGGGATTTGGGGCACAGCCTCCCCCCGTGATGCTGACCCTTCCCCAGGGCTGGCTCTAGCCTGCTGGGGGTGTGGGCTCTCTGGTCTTCTCTGTCTGGCCTCATGCTGGAAGGACCTGGTTATTTCTTTAACCCCCCATCCCCAGATTCTGCAGCCAGCTGTGCCTTTAGAAACAGCCTAGAATGTGCAACACAGATTAGCCATTTCCAGCTACATTTGTCCAGCCAGGGACACGGCTGCTATGCTCCCAGTGAGCCCAGAGAGGGAAAGAACAATATCCCGAGCTGCTTGGTCCCATGCACATGCTCTATACAGGCCATGCACTGAGTGGAGTTACTAGGGGACTGAGGGAAGGGGGCGGCACAGGACTCACCCAGCACTCCCAGGTCAATGTGAGCCACGCACTCCCCAGTGACCATGGAGACCACCTGGTAGCTGCCTTCCGCTTCTCTGCTCATGCGCTGCACTTCGAAGCCTCTGCTGGACACGGAGATCTTCTCAGCGAAGGGGATGCGGGGAGGCTGCGAGATCCCATTGAGGGAGACCAGGATCTCCTCCCAGCGGGAGGCGGAGCCATCGAGGCGATACACGTGGAAGGATGTCTCGACGGTGTGAAGGGGGATGCGCACAGAGCCTCCTTCAGTCGTGGACCAGGAGACCTTCCGACAAACCGCGGGAACTGCAAGGGTTAAAAACCAAGCTGATTATGGGGGAAGGGGGGAGCACGTGGTACGGCAGAGATGATGGGAGGAGCTTGGGGTTTGATGAGTAGATTTCAAGGCAAGAGACGGGATCGTTAGATCCTCTAGTCCGATCTCCTATATCTTATAGGACAAAGAATTACACCCAGTCACCCCCGTTCTGAACCCAGAAATTTGTGTCTTCCAGCATCTTCCAGTGAGATGTCCAGGCTGGAGCTGAAGGCACTGAGACGTTGGAGAAGACACCACTTTGCTTTAGGAGTTTGTGCTATTGGTTAATCACCTCACCGGTAGGTCGGATGTGGGCTTGAAGCTAGGTTTGTGTTTGCTGATGAGGCAGAGGCTGCATGAGGTTGAGGGAAGTCGGGTCTGGGGTTTCTAGAACGTTATAGCATGAAAACTGTCAAGGGCCACGTTCTTCCATGCAGCAAAATCAGAGTCGCTGATCGCATCCTATATCTCTTGGCCAGAATTTCTGGGTTTCCGAAACCAAACCTTTCCACTAGGTGGCCAACACCAGGAATGCTTTATGCCAAAAATGTGTGCTTCTTATAGATGCCAAGGCCAGAAGGAACTACTGTGGTCATCTAGTCTGACCGCCTGGATAACCCAGGCCAGAGACCTGCCCAAAATAATTCCTAGAACAGATCTTTTAGAAAAGCATCCAATTTTGAGTTAAAAATTGTCAGTAATTGAGACTCCACCACAACTTGTTCCGATGGTTAATTTCTTCCACTCTTTGAAAATTTATGCGTTATTTCCAGTCTGAATCTGTCTAGCTTCAACTTCCAGCCATTGGATCGTGTTCTATCTTTCTCTGTTTGACTGAAGAGCCCATTATTAAATATTTGTGCCTTTGTAGATATTTACAGACAGTAATCAAGTCACCCTTAAGCCTTCTCTTTGTTAAGCTAAATAGATTGAGCTCTTTGAGTCTATCACTATATTTTCACTTGAAAATTTCTCACTGCATTCGTTCCGATTTTTTCCCCACCAAATGAAAAAATTCATTTCGAATGCAGTCAAACCAAAACATTAGTTTCAGTTTGAATCAAATGGAATCAAAACAACAATAACAAATACAGATTTTCATTTCTGAGCGCTATTTTCCCCTTTTTTCTCCTCCCCACCCATTTTCCTCTGGAAAAATGGAGATAAGGGAAAAATAAATACCAAAAACAAAAGAAAAAAACTAATCCTAATAATTCCATTTGATTTGAATCAAAACCAATATTTTTCAGTTTGAATCAATTCAAAATACATTTTCCAATTTGTCAAAATCTGAATGGTACAAACATTTGTCTAGAAAATTTTCATATAATTTGAAAAAAACATTGTTCTGTTTTTTAAAAAAAACTTCCTGACACATTTTTTTGGACTATCTCTAATTCTCACTAAAATTTAATTTCGACTCATTTCAGACCAAAGCCTATTATTTCCATTTAAATCAAATGAATCAAATCAAAACAAATGTTTTTATTTTCATTGGGGGGGGGTTCCTATTTCTATTTTCTTCTTCCTCTCTTTATCCTCCCCCCTCCACACACACTGGAAAAGGGGGCAAAAAGGAACCCACTAATAAAGGAAACAAACAAACAAAACAATTCCTTTCAACTCCATGTGATCTGAATCAAACTGAATATCTATCATGTTGAATCAATTCAGTACAAATCTTCTGTTGTCAAAAAGCACAGAATTTTGAGTGGTACAATTATTTTATTGTAGATATTTTTCATATGGGTCGAAAAGCCATTTTTCCATTGAAAACCCTTTTCTGACAAAAAAAATTCAACCATCTCTAACTTCCCTCATGCTGGGTTTCCCCCAGTATTCCACCATGGCTCCTTGCCACCCCCAAACGGTCTTTGAAAATCACACCTCCCAGCTGGGGATTTTCTGGCTCCCCTCTCTTTGGCTTTGTGCTGCACAGAAGCCCTTCGATGTTATTAAATCCCCTTTCAAATGTCTCTGTCAGAGTCACTCAGCATCTGGTCTGCTGTTTGGGTCACAGGCCGATGTCGTGGTAGTTTAGAGGACTAATCAGGGATTGGGACCCCGCAGTGCTAGGCACTGTACATGCATATGACAGTAAGGCAGTCCCTGGCTCAAAGAGCTAGTAGATACACAATCCAGGAACACATCCTCCCCTTCCTGTCAGCCCCCCAAATACCCATCCACCCCCCCTTCCTTTCAGCCTGACCCTCACAAATCCATCCAGGCCCCCACGCCCTGTCCACAATCCTCCCAAATGTCCATCCATGTTACCATCCTCAAATCTATCCATGCCACCCAGCCCTCCGCTCGGGACCCCTGAAATCCATCCATCCCCCTTCAGCTCTCTTCTCGGGACTTCCTAATCTAGCCATGGCCCCCTCAGGCTCTTAAAAATCCATCCATACCCACTGCCCCTCCTGTCAGAAACTCCCCTCCATCCCTGGTCTCCCTTCAGAACCTGCCTCCTTTTGCCTCCCCAAATCCATCCATCTCCCCTTTCACCCATTCCCTCAGCCCTCCTGCCTCCCTCACATCATCCATCCTCCCCTACCCCACCTCTCCCACTGGTTCCATCCAGGTCCATCTCTGCCTCCCTGCCCCATTTATCTCCTCACCAGCTGGAGTAGGGGTAGGAGGGACCTTCCTCTGTTTCCCCAAGGGGGTGGAGGTGGCTCTGGGCTTGGCTGCCTAGAAAGAGCCCTGGAAGGCTGGAGGTTGAGGTTCCCTATGCTAAGCTGGGTACTGCAGCTGTGGTTCTCCAAGCAGGCAGGGTGGGGTCAGGCCCCTTGGTTTGCCTGGTGGGGGGAAAGGAATCCTTCCTGAAGTGGTAGGTCACTTACCTGAGGTGATGACTGGCTTCCCTTGGGTAGTTACTATCAAGAGGAGCAGTAGTGGCCAGAGGAGCTGTCCCTTTGACATCTTTCCTCTTCGGTGGCAGTGCTAGAGTGAACCAACTTCCCCCAGAGCCTGCAGTAGGGGAGCCCCTGAGATAACGTGCATCTGCTGAGTCAAGAGAAAATCCCCTCATTGCTGGGAAGGGAGTGGTGCAAAGAGATGGGTTTCTCCCTTGTCATGATATTTGGGATCACTGTCCACCTGACACAAGAGGCTTTTGACAGCCACAGACACTTACAGCAAACGGATTTCTGCACAACTCATGCTCCGTCTTTGTCTCCTTTGTTTACCAGGGGCACTATCTCCCCCCCAACACACTTAAACTTTCTATTTTTCTTTGCTAGCTAAACAAACCACATTCCGGGATCCATAGTGGAGAGGGAGGTGGACAGAGAAAGCTGAATGACACGGGGCTGCCAAGTTCGCCTTCTGTCAAGCTGATCCCGGCCAGAGTCTTTATTTTCTCTCCAGTGGTTTCTCATAAACAGAAGTTAAACTCGGTGCCGGAGCCTGACTCACCTTTCTCTGTCGCTAGCTTCCTGGAAAGAGCCGGAGAAATTTAAACCTGTGCTATAATTAGGCAGATGGGGTAAATTCAGTAATGTAGTAATGTAGATCAGGGCCCTCATTGTGTGTCTGTGCTAAGATCCATATGCACAAAAATCATGAAGGTGGCGTTAAGGGGACAACCTCACCACTGCCCTGTGCTCCTTGGGCCCTTCTGGAATGGAAGAACAGAATTCCTAACATGCGAACTTTGGGGAAAATCAGGAAATGCAAAGTGAAGGGAGAAACTGCCACACCAATCTTAACGCTGCTCCCTTGGGAATGGTGTGGGATTATAACAGAATTCACCCCCTCCCCTAATAGACCTGTCATTCTCTCTGTGCCCAGCACTGCTCGCAATTCCCACTCCCGATCTACACCCTGGGACCCAGTGTTGTGAACTGGGCAGCGATATTGATCTGGTGGGTATTGCTACTGGCTGGCAGAGGCTGGTACGGTGCTGTGATCTCCCAGAGGGGTGAAAAGGGGCAGAGTTAAGGTTAGAGGGTGAGAGAGAGAAAACTACCCACTCCTTGTCCTCAGCCTAACAACCCCGCCTTCTCTTTTGCTGGCACCCTGCAGGTCTAGTCGTCTGAGGGTACGTCTACACTACCATAAAAGACCCGCGGCATGGCCGCGAATGGCCCGGGTCAGGCGACTCGAGCTGCCGGGCAATAAAACTGCAGTGTAGACATTTGGGCTGAGGCTGGAGCTTGGGCTCTGAGACCCCGGGAGGGGGCAGGATCTCAGATTCCGGGCCCAAACCCGAATGTCTACATTGCAGTTTATAGCCCCACAGCCCCAGCCCCGTGAGCCCGAGTCAGCTGACTTGGGCTCAGAGACTCGGTGCAGCTGGTTTTTTATCACAATGTAGACGTGCCCAGTGAGTTCCATCCTGCTGCCCATCACCATGGTATCTGGGCACCTTCTATAAAAAATCAACAGCAAAGTCCCTAGTGGATTTCACGGTGTCTCTGGCTCTTCCCCCTTTATGAGATCAGAACCCTGCTCGAGGGAGGGTCTTTTTGTTTTCGGAGGGTGGGGCGTTGGGAATAAACGGGGTGTTCAAATTCTGAGCCTCACTTATGGTGGAGTAGCTTTGCAGTGTCTCCTGAAGATGGGCAGACGCCGTCTGGGTCCAGTCTCCTCTGGAAGATTGTTCCACAGCCAGACCCCCTCAACGGTGCATGGTTTGCCCCCTGCTCTCTCTGTGAGCTGCATTGTCCCAGAGAAGCACAGCTGTCACGGGGGTTCATAGATCGAAATTCGGCCTCCAGCTGGGGCTTGATCCGTTAGTTACTTTGAAGATTCCGACCCAGCTGGCATTAGAAGCTGGTCCCGAGCCAGCGGAGAGGGACTTGGAGCCCAGATCTGCATGCGGGGCAGGGCTGGCACAAGGGCAGATGGGGTGGGACTGTGTCCACTGGAAGAGCCGGGGGAGGAGGCTTGAAGGGAGCTGGTCCCCCTGGGGCACATAAGCACTCAGTGGCTAATGTCCCAGGCTCAGCCAGCTCTCAGAGGCTGGGGGCGGTTACAGAATCCAGGAGACGTTCAAGCTGGTTAATTGCAGGAGTTCCAGGGTGAGGCCCATCTCTGCAGGTAACAGGCCCATCAATTAATAGGGCACATGCTCCCCACCCATGAGCACCTGCCCTGGTACCATGCCTTTCGTTTAAGGGACACATACATGTGCCCTTTCTCCCCTTCCTATACTGGGGCCTGCTCGCGTTGGGAGAGCGGAGCAACAGACTGGACCCCGGGAGCTGCTCAGCGCTGTGAAATGTGAGGTAAAGGTGATGGGGTCACTGGTGAGGCAGGGGTTAACGTCGCCTTTCCAGGGGGAAACACAGGCTGG